CTTAATCATTCTCTTTTGTCAGTATAAAGAATGGCGTTAGGTTTTTAATTGAAATAGTAGAGGAACTCTTCCTCTTATGCCGTTTCATGGACTCACCAGCTATTGCATAGAATGCATACCATGTGTGGGAAGGACTATGAAAACTTGGCCCAATTACAAGTGAAAGATTTCCATACAAGATCTAAAAAATTGATCATTTGTTTTTATGTTAAGGTTGATGATTTTCTCATTCCATTACCACAATACAGTATAGGATGACTGCCCCATATTATCTATTCAACACATGGTTAAGTTGATAGTTGTACACATACAGTGTCTATTTGGTTTGAGAAACCAGCTGTCAAAAATGACATAGTAATTAAATGGTGTGTGTTGGTTATAGTATATAGCTTTCACTGGCGCCGAGCATGTGAAAGAATAATAGAAAACTGAACAAAAATGAGCAGGCCTCAAATTAAGCCATATTATTAGTTAAACAAGCTAGTACATTTTGTTAGTCTTTAGATTTTAATAGTTTTTCATCAGAGGCAAAGTGCAAATCAAGTTATTGTACATTAGATTTAGATGACAGTGCTGACGAATAGTATGAATTGTGTCTTAGTACTGTCTGTGTTATTTTAGTCTCTTACGCAAGTGGTAAGATGCATCTTAGTCTGTTTTATATTTTTATTGGTGCTTACCTCTTTTCTCAACAAGCCTGATGTAAAAAATGTATTTAGTTTTATCAATCTCTTTAATATTGTAAGTATTTCAAAGCTTTCATCTTTTGAGGTGGGTTATATGATAAAGGTAATTTTTTATTCCAAAAATGACATCTCTTTTATCAACATTGTTTACAAAACTTTGGATGGATTTACCAAGAAAATACTGATTGATATTCACTGCAGGTTATAGTGTGTCCTGGATGATTTAAGTCATCAGAGATTAAGGTTTCGGTTATCATTTAGGAAATATTTAAAATGGGGTCGGGGGTTGGTGCGATTTGAGCGGTTTCCATTGAACAATGATGTAAATTTCTTCTTACTTTAATTCAAAAATTGAAACAAGGATTTGTATTTTCAGAAGGCCTTATTCTGTGATGTGACAATTCATGAAGAAGGTTCTTATTTTGACTTGACAGTTACTGGGTATTTATGTACGACATTTTTGCTCAAATCTTTTTATTCGGTTACATTTTTGCTGCATATTGCCATTTTTACGTCTGCGGTGTCTATGTAGAGATATTCCTATCTGAGCTATGTGCAATGTTCTGTTCAAACGCCACAATAAAGAGATAGTAGTATTCATGTAACAGAAAACATGACCCTCGTATAGGAGGTATTAGCTAACACCTTATCTGAACATTTAATACTTTGGAGAGTTTTTATATGTAAACAAGGTGAAAATACAAAGTTTTAGTTGTATGCACAGTGTGCTTAATTGAAGGGTAATGGCGTTTTAATGTACTTTCTTCACGGAGGCTTATCAACCAAAAGTTCCCAAAGTTCGTGTTTTCCACGCAAAGAAAAATGCGAAAGTATACGTGTTGCAGTTAAGGTTAACGGTCTCTGATTGGAGAGTATATTATTACGCACGTGACGTACAAAAATTGAATTTTGCGTAGAGAGCACTTTTTTTTGAGAGTACCTTACTAATTTTTCCCAGACAAAACATTTCTGCATTTCTAGTATTCACATGCCTACAGTACTTCATTTGACTTCTCTGGTTATCACTGTGTTTACAAAAAGATATAGAATATGTGAACTGATACGTGTAGTCTTCTGAATAAAAGCATTGCTGTCCAGCAAGAAATATCTGCGAGTTCTTGAATATATTTCTTCAAGAATGGTTTTCTAATGTGTTTCTGGACAAAATTTTAGAGGTACAATTTTTGCCACTTTGGATTACAAATTTATAGCCAGTGAGATTCGATGAGATTTTTTTCTTGACATTTGTCTTAAGTATGTCTTTGCCATCTTTAACTATAAAGGGAAGATCTAAAGTTTAGGGAGGGTGGTTGGGGGAACAGAGAAACCGATAGCGTGCTAGACTAGAAACCATAAGGTGACAAGATAGAAATTCAGGGAAGTCGCATTTTACAGAAAAAAAAAAGAATATTCGCCCCTAACTATAAAGGGAAGATCCAAAGTTTAGGGAGGGTGGTTGGGGGAATAGAGGAATCGGTAACGTGCAAGACTAAGAACCAGAAGGTGACAGGATCGAATTCCAGAAAAGTTGTATTTTGCAGAAAAATAAAAGAATATTCGTGCCATAACTACAAAGGGAAGATCCAAAGTTTAGGGAGGGTGGTTGGGGTAACAGAGAAACCGATAGCGTGCTAGTCTGGGAAGCAGAAGGTGACAGGATCGATTCCCAGGGAAGTCGCATTTTGCAGAAAAAAAAAGAATATTCGTCCCATAACTAGAAAGGGAAGACCCAAAATTCAGAGAGGTTGTTTGGGGGAATAGAGAAACCGATAGCGTGCTAGACTGGGAACCAGGAGGTAACAGTATCGAATAATAGAGAAGTCACATTTTGTAAAATAAGATTCAACTGCACTGACTGTAAAATTTCATTTTATGCGGGTGAAACCCTTCAGCCCAATAGCCCAAGAAACACGGCTGGCGACACTGAGGTCGAGATGAACAAAATGGAACAGTAACTATTAAAAATTTTATTTCCAGCAAGGATAGAACATATGAAAGTAAATCAGGGTACAAATATCCCAAGTTGTTTAGATTTGGTCAGGATTTATTCATTTTGTTCTAATAATGATACATGTATGAATGAACATACAACTCAAATTTCAAGGTAATACGATTTAAATGTGTTATACCAAGGACGCTAAAATTTTGCAAACATTTGACTCTATAAGGAATAATCATCTATTTACCATTTTCGTCGGAGTACAAATAAAATCTGCAAACTGATCAAAACTGTATACCACAGCGCGCATTCAGAACAACTTGATCCGTGAACTAACATATCTGCAAACTAAAAAAGGCCTATACACTTAAAAGCACTGCCGACTAATTACCTGATGATCTCCCCGCCTCCGCACACGCCTTCGCTGCAGGGGCCTAGCTGTTAAATCTAGAAGCCTCTGGAGGCGGGGAGACCTTCAGGGAATTACGCGGCATTGTTTTTAGTGGGGTCGGCCATATTAGTCGGCGGATCATCTGTTGTGAATGGACTCATATATTATACAGTAACACAGAAGGAATGATCCTTACAGACTCCGGAAAATCCATATCCATAGAAGCAACAAAGTTTGTCTCGCATAAAATTTTAGATAAAAAAAAATTCAAAATCTCGCAAAATTGTCGGAATTAGCAACAATTTCGCAAAGTTCTGTCACCGTTTAGAAAGCCCTATTAATATCAGTAAAATTGTTTGTACCAATTTAAGTTTCGCTGGGTAATGTTACAAACGTAGACAGAAACTTAGGTTCCTTAACCATTCTTCTTGCCTTTTAGCCATTAAAAAGTAGTCACATATCATCACTAAGAAATTATGTAAATAGGACAATGATTATGCCATTTCTACCACTACAAATCCAGTCACGTCCCAACTTTCTTACTTTGATGTAATTACAACCCTTTAACCCTGGCACATAAATTTTAAGTTAATCAAAATATTTAGAAATCTCGCAAACAGTAGAATTAGTTACTATTTCTCTTTGCACCGTCATATTTTTAAACACCCTATAAATATGAATGGTCTGTACCAATTTAAGTTTTGATAGGTTATGTTTCAAACGTACGTTGAGTAGGCACTATGATCTCAAGTAATCAAAGTGAGTTCTCATTTAATCAGCCCGTCCTTTAATTACTACTTCACTACTAGAGCATTCTGGTCAGTGTCGCCGTATATGTATACCGTATTCGTATAACATGTATCCACATTATTGAACTTAAAAGGTGCATTTGAACTGTTGTTATTTCTTCCTAGGAAACGATCTTCATCTTTATTACTCGTATGCCTGGACAACTGAAATTAGAAATTAAGTATTAAGTTAGATAAGAAATCATTTATTCCACAGCGCTTAAGTCAATGTTGTGACAATGCGCTTAAAAATTCGTGTATTGCGTATACCAGTGCAGGGTGCGAGAACAAAACAATGGACAAAAATAAGAAATTCACAGGTTTCTTCTGTTGATTTCGTTCGAGAATATACAGGGAACAGCAATTACACTGCATTAAACATGCTTCTACATCTGTAGCAATATTAGGTCATATTGCCCTTGAAGGTGCGTTAACCAAAAGTCACTTATAATCATTATTTATGCTGTTTACGAAAGTTCATGTACCAAGTTCTATTAGAATCAAATGTCAAGAATAAATATCGCTAAAATACAGCATCTACAAGCGACAAATAAACAGCTAAGACACAAACAGTGAAAACACGCCCATGCGTTCTGAGTGATTAGATAAAAAGCAGAGAATTTGACACAAGGGTTCAATTTTGAAATACTCCATCTTACTAGAAAGTGTTATGCGTATTTGTCACATACAGTAGCGAGAAAAGTC